CAAGATGATAAAGATATTCGTTTGCACGGTATTGTAATCGCTATACAAGTATATGCGGTAAAATCGATAAAGTTGAACCATGGAGGTAGAAAAAAGCATGGTTGAACTAACATAGGAACAGCGCGACACCCATCAGGATGGAGCTTATCCACGCCGTCTCCGCGGCGCTAGCCTGAAACTGTTGGCTGAACGTCAGGAAGAAGACTCCGAGGGAGCGGAAAATCCCGCCCACGCAGCCGTAAACAATGAACCCGGCCAGAACCACCATCCAGCCCCAACCGCCGTCCGGAGGCTGAGGGCGGCTCTCTGGGTCCGCCATGGTTTCTCTTCAGGGGGGTCTAGGTTGAACTTAGAAAGAAAACGACATGAATGACTACCAAATTAACATTCCTGGTTACCTTCTTTCTGCCTTCAAGCCATCATTACAACGTTAACGCTTTGGCTTATAACAATAAAACACTATTGCTTAGCTTCTGGGGGCGTAGCATGGGCGAGCGCCTTTGGCAGCTTGTTTACATGGGACAAACTACAAAGTCTCAAAGTTCAATTCTCATGAGCTGAACTGGTAATAAACACGTAGTTGCATTGACATATTCTCAACCTGGCGAGTTTTCTGTCGATTTTCTAGGGTTTTAAACGATCTGTAGCTCTTGTTTTGTACCGCGATGTCTAAAGCAACAGATAAAACCTAGTTGATAACGGACAATATTGCCGTAGTTGAACGTATTCATACCTTCAGGGCAGCACGCCAGGCCAGGGTTCAGGTACGGAGTGAACTCTGACTCCCGCCGGTACACACTAGCTTGCTGGGTCAATGACCCCAGCTTTGTCTGCTCGCTTGTGGCTGTAATCATGGCTTCTTGATCTTAGCTGAACACTGGCCTCCCGGATCATTGCTGCTCATGTCTGGTACAGAATGTAGTATGGTGTACATGCTAACTCACGTTGTGGATGGACCTGTAACGTGACAATACTGCAACAACTGCTAAATTGCATCATGCATCCTTGTCTTGACTTGTCGAACTTTTGTTAGAAAGAAAACACGTTGCCGTTGCGTGTATTGAATTTCTTTACATTTGCCAGCTTTTCCTGTAGAGTCATAGCAAATGGATATTGCAAGAACAAGTTATGATGAAAGACCTTTATTGTACATTTATGCTCAAATGATGTAGTGTTTAATGGCGTTTAGAGATGCTTCTAGGTTGAGGGGATAACGCCCCAATTCCGCCATATTATCTACATGTAGTTATTATTTGAAGTATGACTGTATGGTGGCAAATATTGGTCATCGACATAATGCTATGTAAGTGGCACTTTGAGTGATAATATATGTAGCTGAATAGCCCACTGCATGTCACGGTTAAATTGCAGCAATAATCAGACAGCGGTTTCACGTTCAGGTGCCAATAAAGTCTCATTTTCCCCCTTCACTGTTTGTGGCGAGTCCGCCGGCTCCTCCGTCGTGTCCGCCGGCCGTTTCTTCCTGAGCCGCAGGAGGAACGGCAAGAGCCCGGCTAGCAGGAAACCGGCGCCTGCTTGGAGGAACGTGGCGTCGTAACTTTGGGTCTCGTCGAACAGCCAGCCTGGACAAACATTTAGGAATTTGGCATTTAGTTTGTGATACGTTCGATTCAACGGAAACCAAAGAGTTACGTTACCAATGAGTTGCGTTACCTTAACATGGCTGAAGAACCACGAACTTGAAGAACCCTTTCACGACCATCTCTCTTCTAATCATGCACCATGCGCTGATGAGGGGTCTTTGTTTTAACCAAATTACCAGTAGTATTTAAATGAAGGTCTGCAAATACAGTTTTATTACTTCAATCTTTCTATTGTTCCACAAAGCGTTCGTAACGTTTCAAATTTTATTTCTCTACACAAACCTGCAAACGGTGGCCCAGCCAGCGATGCAAACCCCTGTATTGACGCCAGAATGCCGAGCGCACTTGGAAGACGCTCTGGGCCCACCAGGTCGGCCACGCAAGTTGCTGTCATCGGAAGAAACGCTCCGTAGAACGCCCCGTTTGCGATAGCGTACGCCACGAGCGCCGGGTACGTCTTGGCGAGCGGAAACAGGAGGTTGGAGACGCCCAACAGGCACAGACTCAGTCCGTACTGGTCAAACCGGCTGAACCGTGAGTTGTCCGGGATGGCCCCGACTGCTAACCGACTGACCATGTCCGCGATTGAACTTACTGTGAGAAGGGACGCCGCCGCGTAGTCCTCGATCTGCAGCTGCTTGGCGCGAGGGATGATGTACAGCCCTGGCACGTTGATAACGAACTCCTTTATAAACAAGGACGCCAAGAACAGGGCCACGGAAGGTATCAGGATCACTTTAAAGTTCATCTGTGCCCAAAACTCTTTTAGAAAGTTCGCTGCATCTGTGAAACATTTCTTTCCATTTCCGGTTTCCAGTTCCATGTCTGACTCGTTGACTCTGCTGTTTCCGAGGCTATTTTCGACCTTCCTGTCTCTGTAAGCCTCGAGAGGTCTGATCAAGGCTCCTGCTACCACTATATTCAGCATAATGCCGCCAATAATGAGCAGGGCGCCCTTCCAACCATACTCGTCCATCAGGTACTGGAAAAGTGGCGGGAACGCCATGGATGCGACACTTGAGCCCAGCATCAGCAAGCTTGTGGCCATGGCTCGTCTTCTGGTGAAATACTGCCCGACAATCGCTACAGCAGGGCTAAGACTTAGGGCATATCCAAGGCCTGTTTGGAACAAAAGAAAAACGCTTGTTACCACTAACAGCTACTGGTGAAATTTAAGGTTATCCAAGCAAGTCCAAGCATGCATGCGACACCGATTGTATCTGAGTACGTTTGAAATCCAACCAGTGAACAGTTCCAGAAATGTCCCGGACTGACCTGTCAGACATCCAATTCCCAAGTACAAGTGAAACATGCGGGTCGCAAAACCGCTGACGATGTAGCCGGCAGCTGTGAGCACCCCTCCCAACATGATGGTCGGGCGGAAACCTATGGTGCTCGCCAGGGCAGTGCCAACCGGAGCTAAGGAGAAAAAAAGCAGGCACATGTTAGACATACACGGAAGCAAAAGGACCCAACAATACCCAGTATGAGTCTCCCCAAATTCTATAAGCTTCGCGAGTCTCGGTGACTGTGTTCTGTTCTATTTACCACCGTTACCCCGAATAGAACACGCGTTCTGTTCTATTTACCACCGTTACCCCGAATGGAACACGCGTTCTGTTCTATTTACCACCGTTACCCCGAATAGAACACGCGTTCTGTTCTATTTACCACCGTTACCCCGAATGGAACACGCGTTCTGTTCTATTTACCACCGTTACCCCGAATGGAACACTCGTTCTGTTCTATTTACCACCGTTACCCCGAATGGAACACGCGTTCTGTTCTATTTACCACCGTTACCCCGAATAGAACACGCGTTCTGTTCTATTTACCACCGTTACCCCGAATGGAACACGCGTTCTGTTCTATTTACCACCGTTACCCCGAATGGAACACGCGTTCTGTTCTATTTACCACCGTTAACCCGAATGGAACACGCGTTCTGTTCTATTTACCACCGTTAACCCGAATGGAACACGCGTTCTGTTCGAATGACTTTTGCGGAAAGTACATTAAGTATTCGCCTGAGGCTCTTTTAGTGTAAATGATACCTAAGTGCTTTCCTTTAATTTTTATAATTGTTTCACAAAATTTTGGCTTTTGTCTCTTAGCTTTTTTTTTGGCGTGTTATGGCTCTTTTATCGGGCAATGATATCAGTGCAAAAAAGAAAGCCCGATAAAAAAGCCTGAAAAACACGCCAAAAATAAGCCCAATCCTAACCTCTGCTTAACCTCTGCTTGGAGAGTACCAAAAAGGCATAAAAATAGAGTAACGGTCAAAGACATTGCACGTCGTCATTGTTAAACAATCGTACGTCTTACTAAATAAGGATGAAGTTAAACTAACATAGGAAAGCCGTGACGAAGATCAGGATAGAGGTTATCCACGCCGTCTCCGCGGAGCTGGCCTGAAACTGTTGGCTGAACGTCAGGAAGAAGACCCCGAGGGAGCGGTAAGTTCCGATCGTGCAGCCGCTGACGATGAACCCGGCCAGAACCACCATCCAGCCCCAACCGCCGTCCGGAGGCTGAGAGCGGCTCTCTGGGTTCGCCATGGTTTCTCTTCAGGGGGGTCTAAGTTGAACTTAAAAAGAAAACGACATGAATGAGTACCAAATTAATATTCCTGGTTACCTTCTTTCTGCCTTCAAGTCATCATTACAACGTTAACGCTTTGGCTTAACAATAAAACACAATTGATTAGCTGCTGGGGGCGTAGCAAGGGCGAGTGCCTTTGTCAGCTTGTTTACATGGGACAAACTACAAAGTCTCAAAGTTCAATTCTCATGAGCTGAACTGGTAATAAACACGTAGTTGCATTGACATATTCTCAACTTAGCGAGTTTTCTGTCGATTTTCTAGGGTTTTAAACGATCTGTAGCTCTTGTTTTGTGCTGCGATGTCTAAAGCAACAAATAACACCTCATTGATAACGGACAACATTGCCGTTGTTGAACGTATTCATACCTTCACAACAGCACACCAGGCCAGGGTTCAGGTACGGAGTGAACTCTGATCCCCAGTGTACTCTAGCTTGCTAGGTCAATGACCCCAGGTTTGTCTGCTCGCAGGTGGCTGTAATCATTCTGGCTTATTGATCTTAGTGGCCTCCCGGATCATGAGTGCCTGCCTGGTAGTATGGTAAACATGCTACAGTGACGCCTACCATTACAAACTCACGGAGTGGATGGATCTGTAAAGTGACAATACTGTAACAAATGCATAAGATACACATTTGATACAAACTGACGTAGAGCAACTTAGAAAGCCGAAATGCATGAAATATCACCGGTCAAACTCAGTAAGGAAGTAACATGGACAATGATAACAGTCTTCCACTTTTTTCAACTCATCAAGCGAAACAGCATTGGGCATCGTTGTGATACATTGGGCAAACTTTCTTTCAGGGGGCTTAGTTCCAGTTTTCTCATCTCTGATGATGCACTTATCACTACTGGCAAATCTTATCACTCGTGGCAATGCAGGAATCTGCTCATAAGGTCTACCTCTACACATCTATATTCCATTCATCTTCATCCTTCAGACATGATGATAACGCTTTGTAGTACTGTTACGTAGACCCGTCTTTCTTTACGAGGTCTTTACACGCACGCCACCTACCGACTTTTTCACTAGTCGCAGCGCTGCAGAGAGGGAGTCATGGCCGTCCCATCGAGGCAACCTTATCCATGTCTGAAGCACGAAGCATCTGCAGAATGGGCTGTACATTTCTATCTTATTTATTTTATTTACATTTATTTTTCGAGGATTGGGCAAAAAGTTATAAAACTTATCACAGCCCTCTCCTCACACATAAAAGGAAACAATAAAACAAAGTAATAAGAAGAGGAAGAACAAATGACAAAGGTACATAATGAGCTGGTGTACAAATCAAAATCAATCAACTAAATCAAACAAAACGTCCTGTCTGCAAAATAAAGTTGAAAACCACATCAACTATTTTACAGTTGTTGACAAACGACAATGAGGGGTTACCCCTGAGAATGGTTGAACATAAGGTGTTGTCGGTGACGTTGTTTATGTCAAATGGCAGGATGTTAGTTAAAGATGATAACATGTCAATACGTTCTTCAGTGTACAGTGGGCAGTGTAGGAAGTAGTGTACAGCTGTTTCGTTGGACTGTACATTTAATTATACTTCGTTGCAGCTGCGGAACACTTTGTTTGTCGTTCCAGGTTCTAAGGCTGTATCTGAGTCGTTCATTCTGCTGTCTCCAGGACCATTTTCGACCTTCCTTTCCTTGTAAGCCTCGAGAGGTCTGTTCAAAGCTCCTGCTACAACCATATATTCAACACCATGCAAATTACCCTTTTCCTTAAACCAAGTAAATTTAACAACAAAACTAAGCCTGACGAAGACATGTGTTTCACGAACTCGAGTATCATGTTATTAGTAAAACGCATATTCTTCTTTTTTGCTGAACAGACGCCTACGGTGCGGAGCTACTAAAACGATTACGTATTCATTTGTTGTTTTGATAAGTCTCGCCTGCGAGAAGTTTCTTTCATGTTTGCAAATCAAGCAATCTCCTTGCCTTACTTTAATCTTTGGTTTTAATTTCGATCAAAAAGTACTTTGAGTCTCGCGCTGCGCACAAACAAGTTATTGTTACTGAGGACCTGCCTGGTGTAGAACGTGTTTCTGCTAGTCCAGAAACCTGACAAGTGGCACCATGAAGAGAGGGCAGCAGCAACCCCAGACTGGCGATACAGACAGTAGCGTGTTTTTGCTTTATATTCCGTAACACACGGCTTTTCTGGACACAGATATCCACGGCTGGACTTAGAGGTCGTGAGTTCGAGTCCCACCTGTATTGCTCACCCGATACACTGCGACCCTTTACAGCAGCGTGAATGTCGGATGAGCGACAGAGCCGGAATTCGCACCAACTCACGACCTGTTGATACAACTGTAGAAAGACTTACAAGTTGTTTTTTGTTTGTTTAGCTCACCTTATTGTTTAATTGTTTTTAAACCAGTGTACGTAGTTCAGCGGTTTTATACGCTGCCATGTACAAGGAGTGTTGTCAATAAACTATTGTTATAAGATCGAACTGGTTATGCAGCAAAATACATAGGATGAACATAATTCTTATTTACATTGAATTCTCGGCACAAAGAATATATCAACAAATGAAAATGAATACTTGTAAACGTCCCTTTTTCAATAAGGACGTTTTAAAGATTGTACTTTAAGTTGTAATTGTACTTTAAGTGAGTTGTACTTAAATGTTGACCACAGTGCAATTCAGGCAATCAGTAAGGTTGCCAGCAAGTCTGTTGTTTAGTGCATACTGTATTGTATATAGTGTATGTATGTTCCGAATAAATCAGTCATCCATTTTGTGATTTTTCTCCAGGCGCCACACCCACGCAGCAGCCTCAGACTGATCATGATTGGCAGTCCGTTGCAGACGCCGCTGCGAACATACCCAACAATGTGTACGTCTCCAGAGCGGGTAAATAAAAGACTTTCCAGCTTTGCTATAGATTATACAAAATTCTGTTGCTTGTTTTTTTTTTCCCTTGGGCCCTCCTTCCACTAAACGGCGATCGGTGAGCAACCGTACAACGACCAAATTGACCCCTGATTTCATCATTGTGTGTTTATTGATTTCGCTCATTACACACTAAAACATGTTTGTTTGTTAAGTTATTTATTGTTTTGCATTTACAAATAAAATAAAATGTAGCAATTGATAAATAAATTACATGCATAAAAGGGCCCGAAAGCTGGTGGTTTATCTTTTGGCCCTCCCCAATAGTACAAGATTAAAAGAGGAATTACTATTATTATTATTAGTTTTTACTAGTAGTTTCTCAGTGGTTATCAGTAGTTCTATGTGTACTTATTGTCTGTTTTTATACCATATGTTTCTTCTGTTCCTGCAATTAGACCCCCGGGCACGAATTTGCAATAAAACAATTAATCATTACTAAATGAACCAAATTTCAAACAAAGAAGACAAAATAACAGGAAATAAGCAAAAACAAATCGAAGAGCTAATGAAACCATCTATCTGAACAAATAAAGAATTCTTATTTACATTGAATTCTCAACAGACAACACAAAGAATATATCAACAAATGAAAATGAAAACTTGTAAACGTCCATTTTTCAATAGGGACGTTTTAAAGAGCGAGTTGTGCTTTAATGTTGACCACAGTACAATTCAGGCAATCAGTAAGGTTGCCAGCAAGTCTGTTGTTTAGTTTGTTTGTTTGTTTATTTGCACAACAGCAATGATATACTAATAATAAATAAAACAGATGCAGGAGGAGGGAAAAAAGCTTATTTAGCTTATGCTAAGCCCTCCTCCTCTAAACTAACCAAAACTAAACATAATTGAATTGAAATGATACATACATATATAAAAAAATTGTTATCAATATAATTCAAACATGGGCAAAATGAAACAATATCAATAATGAAACAATAGTATACATAAAAAATAATAAATGAAGATATGAATCTAATACAAGGGGCTGGGGTGGTTTATAAGATGGGCTTTCAGGGTATTTCTAAAAGTCAGAAAAGAGTGTATACTGTACTGTATATAGTGTATGTATGTTCCGAATTAATCAGTCATCCATTTTGTGATTTTTCTCCAGGCGCCACACCCACGCAGCAGCCTCAGACTGATCATGATTGGCAGTCCGTTGCAGACGCCGCTGCGAACATACCCAACAATCTGTACGTCTCCAGAGCGGGTAAATAAAAGACTTTCCAGCTTTGCTATAGGTTATACAAAATTCTGTTGCTTGTTTTTTTTTCCCTTTGGGCCCTCCTTCCACTAAACGGCGATCGGTGAGCAACCGTACAACGACCAAATTGACCCCTGATTTCATCATTGTGTTTTTATTGATTTCGCTCATTACACACTAAAACATGTTTGTTTGTTAAGTTATTTATTGTTTTGCATTTACAAATAAAATAAAATGTAGCAATTGATAAATAAATGACATGCATAAAAGGGCCCGAAAGCATGGTGGTTTATCTTTGGCCCTCCTCAATACTACAAGATTAAAAGAGGAATTACTATTATTATTATTAGTTTTTACTAGTAGTTTCTCAGTGGTTATCAGTAGTTCTATGTGTACTAATTGTCTGTTTTTTATACCACATGTTTCTTCTGTTCCTGCAATTAGCCCCCCGGGGCACGAATTTGCAATAAAACAATTAATTATTACTAAATGAACCAAATTTTAAACAAACGAGACAAAGTAGCAGGAAATATACAAAAACTATTCGAAGAGCTAATGAAATAATACAAACCATCCATCTGAACAAATAAAGAAAGATCAAACTAATCAGCCTTGTTATTACAAATATGGCAGCGTCATCTGTACTCCTGCATAGATGCTGACTTGCGCATTTTAGGCATCTTAACGTTACATAACAACTAATTAATCATGTATACGATTACATAACAACTAATAAAAACACGTATACAGTTACATAACAAATAATAAAAAACACGTATACGGTTACATAACAACTTATCAAAAACATGTAACAATTACAATGTAAAAGAATACAGACATGTTCTTAGGACAAGTGTATTTGTTCAAACGGTGAGTAAAGTATGGAATAGGGATGTTTTTATAGCGGTTTGTTTTTGCTAATAGTATACAAAGCTGTTGGGCACTTTCCATAACTGGAATGTTACGCAACATGTGAAAATAAGACATCAAAGCAAAAATGAGTCTGCCCTCTGTCCTTTAAAACATTAATGACACGAGCACATCAGAAGTATGCGGTATGTTTTTATATTTTACTACATTGATGCTGGATGGAACAGGTTGATATGGAACAGTCCATTTTGGAATGGGTATACAGGAATAGGTTGATATGGAACAGTCCATTTTGGAATGGGGAGGAAACATGGAGTGAAATATGCTGTATTCGCTCCGGAGCCAATGTCGGCATTTCTAATGTATTCCATTATATTGTTTAACTTTTAATTTAATTCTATCTAATCTAATCTTTTTCTATTTACTCACCCAGTGTTTACATGTCGCCATGTTGGCGATTTTCAATGCTCCCTGCACATATAGAACAAACCATATTTATGTAATATGATGAAAAGGAAAGGTATAAACTAACTTGAGCACAATCATTGCATAATAAACACGTACATACATACATACACACACGCACACACACAAACACACACAAACACAAACGCTACTGAAAACAACCTTCTTGGCGAAGGTAAGAATAAATCAAATGGTAATACACTATATGTAACTTTATGTTATATTGTTAGATAGGACTGTGAAGTGCATATTCGTCTTTTTTGCTAAACAGACCCCTACGACAAGGAAGTGAAGAAGTGTTGGCGTCTTCGCACCAAACTTTGGCAGATTATAGGCCTTCTGTTTGCTGTGGCCATCATCATACTTTTGTCTTACTTTGCAGGGAAGAATCCTACATTACTTTAGAAAATACACGCATTGTTTTACCTGCCATTCTTAGAGAATTTCATTTCTGTTAACTTCAATGTAAATTTCTTTTTGTGCCAACTGCGCGCTTTTACGATGTTATCTAGATCTGTTCTGTGTGTGGTTTTATTTTTGTATGAACCCTGAACGACTGGCCAATTTTGGCTAAAGGGTATGGGAATAAAGACAAAGACAAATTGGAATGCTGCATACTTGAAAATTTACTGACAATGTCTTTAAGAAATGTAATCCGTATTGTATTGTAGTTTTGTTGGAAAGTTTGGAAAACTCGCTTACGTGTCTTCTTATCTCTATAATTATAATAAGCAACCACCTACATTTTTTCGATTTAGCCAAAGTCACAGAAACGGAAATGAAATTTGTGGAGGTGGAAAAACGGAACAAGAAGACCGAGCTACGAGTAGCCGAATTGGAACGTTAGTCATCATAGAACCTCATTTACTTTCTATGTAGCTTTCGTAGTTGTGTGAGTTGTAATTATGTACCTACATGCGCAAAGGAACATAAATGTATTGTTTACTTTATGTACATCCAATGCTCTTTTTGTCATCAATATTTGTGTTACCTTATATTTGTTAAGACTGATTGCTGCATCCTAATTCTAGTCTCCGTGATGTGATCTCTTCTTAACTAATCTCTTGTTCATAACTACATGTATCCCACTTAGCCACCCGCTCTTGTAATTAGTTTGGCTAGCCTTATAAAAGTGTAGTTCTTATGTAGAACTATTTATGTATATAGATGCCATACCCTGTACCCTTTACAATTGTTTTGCAATGAAGTTATCATTATATTTTCAGAGATGTGTGTTTCATCTGGGCAACCCAACTTTGCCGGGGCTCCTGAAGAGAAGAGGACCATTGGTCCAGTTGGCCCTGTGTCTGCAGGGCCTACTTGGCTTCTTGGGCCACCGGGAGAGAATGGGACCATGGGGCCAATTGGCCCTCGGTCTGCCGGGCCTGCCAGGCCAACTGGCCCGCCAGGAGAGAAGCAGGCCATGGGCTCAGTTGGTCCTGCGTCTGCCGGGCCTCCTGGGCCACCTGGCCCTCCCGGAACGCAAGGGGCCGTGGGGCCAGTTGGCCCTAGGTGTACCGGACCTCCTGGGCCACCTGGCCCTCCAGGAACGCAAGGGGCCATGGGGCCAGTTGGCCCTGGGTCTGTCGGGCGCCCTGGGCCACCTGGCTCACCAGGACAGAAGGGGGCCATGGGGCCAGTTGGCCCTGCGACTGCCGGGCCTCCTGGGCCACCTGGCTCACTAGGACCGCAAGGGGCCGTGGGGCCAGTTGGCCCTAGGTGTGCCGGGCCTATTGGGCCACCTGGCCCGCCAGGGCAGAAGGGGGCCATGGGGCACAGCTGGGGCCCAACTGGCCCTGAGCACCCCGGGCTTCGGAGGAAACCCGGACGCCCGGATCCTCGGAGCTGGTGCGAGTATGGAGGTGTGGCATCCATTTTACTTTGACTTTTAAAAGATATCACCTTAGCCATAGACTGTTCGATGATCCATCTAATAATCTTTATTTCGGTTTTTTATCGTTGTACTTGAATGGCCCAAAGAGAGTTCTTGTAATGTAAACACATACAAAACGTTTTATTTCCCCCATGCAGGTTGCCCCAAAGATTATGAGAATCAGCGTGGAAACTGCTACAAGGTATTCAACACTCAGAGGAGCTTCGACGAAGCTACCAAGACCTGTGGCCAAGACGGCGGCTTCCTAGCTATGCCCAGAGATGCTGAGACCAACGCTTACCTAATTTCCTTCACCAGGCGCTCTGTAAGCGATAATGAAGCCTTAATTTGGCTCGACCTCTCCGATAAGAGCAGGGAAGGAATGTTTGAGTGGGCGAACGGCGTTAGCCTTGGAGCGTACAAACCATGGGGTCGGGGAGAGCCTCATCAGGGCAACTATGCCGCCTTTGAAGACTGCGTATTCTTGTCGATTAAACATGGCACGTGGGCCGACACGTTGTGCTCCAACCGGGCACCTCGATTCATTTGCCAAGTCAAGCCAGGTACCGCAAGCAAACATCGTTCCTAATAAATAATCAAAGCTAAACACTACTTTGGAGAATGATATCATACATCACCTTATTTTATATTGTATTTGAGTGCGTTGTACTACATTGCATTGGCACTCATCAGCATAGTTTATTGTACATAGCTATGTGAGACAATATTGTTGTGACAAACGTGATTCATGGAAGGCACATCTGTGCCCTTCCCTGCCAATGTGTGTTTGAATTTGTGAGAAACAATAAGGAAAGAATAGTTAGTTATTGAATCAATCAATCAATCAATACCCTTTATTTATAATGGAAATGCCCTGCCGGCCTTAGCCGCTCTTCCCAGAGGTCCAGTTGAGGGGGGTGGTCACGGGAACACAATAAATAAGTAAATAAAATTCAAATCAATACAAAACAAATTACTAAATACCTAACGTAATAATCATGTCCAAAAATCACAGTCTGTAAATCAGTCCGCAAATCAAATTTCTCCACTACCGTATTCTTTGTTACATGAAGTAAGGGTTTAGCATTTGCCGAATGTTTCACCCATTATTTCCACGAGTTCTGAAGCAGTCCACATTTTACTGACGGCGACTTTGTTGTTTCTGTTACAGAGTACTTGTGTGCCTAGGAGATATGGCGGAGCGCTCACTGACACTGTGGATCAAAATGTACACCGATGATCCTGTGGACATGCTGCTAGAAGCAGTGAGTACACACTAGTCCTACATGTACAACGTAGCAGAGGAAAGCAGAGACACGGATATCGTCACCATAACCGGCATGAGAGAAGACCTTCCTGAAGCAGGAAACAAGCAGATGTACATTGCCCTCTCCCGGTACATCGAGAGTATGCACGCGCACCGATTCGATGTGCTCTCCTAGAGACACTTTCAGCATCAGACAAGCACAAGGCACCAAGAGTTAAATACCTAGAGATACAATTTGACTCTGGACTGAACCATGAGCAATCCAGCACCAGGAGATCACGTCTAGCGAGATATTAGACTTTAAACAAAGACAACAACAACATGGTCCGCTTTAAAACTCAACAACTTGGAAGTACGTACCAAGCCTGGAGAAACGTAATTTGACCAGCAACCTATCAATACTTGTACTAGTAATATTTAACCTGACTAGACTGCTTTCCAACAGAACACTTTGTGATCATGGGCGATAGGCCAACGAGCTTTTGTTGAAATTGCTGTTGCTTTGTCTGTACACTTAAGAAACTGTGTGTAAACTCGATCGGCTACTAGAGGCCACTTTTTAGCGCTAAAATAATTGTCTGAACGTAATGAATGTCTACTTTAGAGAATTTTCTTTGACAATTATATAGTGTCTACCAGAGAAATGTTATTAGCATGACATGAACCTATATATCATATTGATGAACACAAATGAAAGATTAGAATATCATTAACATTGAGTACTGCCGCCTCAGCAGTAGCTGATATGCGGTGGAGTAGATGGGATGGAACATTGAGAACCCATAGGGTGAAAATTTTCTAGCTTTGTATGACCTTCATCCTATCTAAAAGTGAATTGATTGTCTAAACATATAAGGGAGATATGCTGCCCTATTAGTTGCAGTTATGGGCAAATGATCCAGGGCACCTAATGTTACATATGTTTCATTCAATAATTCATTACAATTTATGTAAATATTCAAGAAAATTTACGTGCTGTATTTGAGTCATGCAAAATTTGAGAAATACAAAATGTGTATATTAATAACAGACAGCAATATATGAATATTCTTAGAATTGTAATGAAGGAAAGAATTGTAATATAGAATTCAGTGCTATACTTCGCTAAGCTAATAAATATTAATAAACTAGAGTTCGGCGATCTCATGCCTCCATGAAATGTTTAGTGCTTTTGTAAATTTTATGCATGGTGATGGCCACCTGTAAATGGCTTACATTTACAATCCTGCTCATTAGCAAAATTTTTATGCAAAGTGTTCACATGGCCCCTACATGGTAACATACATTACACTGGTGAAATCCTTATCATTTGGCATGGACAATGTATGATATTGTTGGTTGTATGCAAGCTGAAGACAAATTTTCAGGTTTGATTGACAACAAGAGTTAAACGACATTATACCTTCGCGAAATCATGTTAACCCTTCAAACTAATCATACATTTTTCACGGTGATTGTGCTCAGTTGCATGAATTATATCAGTTGACCCTATTCTCCATCCAATGACAGAATTATCTTAAGAAATAATACTATTCTAGCGTTTCCTCATAAATCATGCACATGAGGTCCTGATTTGAATGAATTATGTTTAGTGACATGGGAACAATAGAACAGCGGCAAAACACAATTACATCGATAACAGATAGAAGATGGTCAGAAAAATTATATGTCATCAAAAATTTGTTATTTCTTGTCAGTCCCTGGTCATAGGTTCCTTTTGGTACTAAATAGCGCAATAGGGTATAGTGACAAATAAATCGTGTAATGCTATGTGTTTTGTGATATTTTTTTTCAAATTGTGGGTCACTGCTCTTCTGAATTATAATAATCATCAAACCTCCGAAAGAAAAAAAAAAGAAGATTACACAGCGGTTTCACGTTCTGGTACCAATAAAGTCTCATTCTCCCCCTTCACTGTTTGTGGCGAGTCCGCCGGCTCCTCCGTCGTGTCCGCCGGCCGTTTCTTCCTGAGCCGCAGGAGGAACGGCAAGAGCCCGGCCAGCAGCAAACCGGCGCCGGCTTGGAGGAACGTGGCGTCGTAACTTTGGGTCTCGTCAAACAGCCAGCCTGGACAAACATGCATGAATTTAACAATATTGTGTGTGTGTGTGTGTGTGTGTGTGTGTGTGTGTGTGTGTGTGTGCGCGCTACTTTTTCTGCAACATACACTGATGAGTTACGTTACCTTGTGAATTTTTATGAACCACAAAAGGGCAGATAGTGCTATCATAAACCATGGAACTTTATCTATGCTGATAGCCGCGATTTTAAGATCAGAGTGACTGGACGAAAGCTCTAGGTGAAAACAATCCTTTGTGTTGGAACAAAAGGTTAAACTTTATACAGGCGAGAAAGTAATTTTGTCTTGTATCTGGACTCGCTTATGACCAAGGGCCACTGACACTGATGCTAGGGGGTCTTTGTTTTGAATTAAGCATGCTCCATAGCCCCGCATGTTTTTCATTTCATATCATTTTGCCTGCAAGGACTGCAAAGATGGTGGTGTGCATTGTACAACGTTTCCATGTCGTTTTAAAATCATGCAGGCTAAGACTTCTCTATGTACACCAACCTGCAAATGGCGGCCCAGCCAGCGATGCGCACCCCTGTATTGACATCATGATTCCAATCGCACTGGGAAGACGCTTCGGGCTGACCAGTTCGGCCACACAAGTCAGTAGCGTCGGAGCAAACGCGCCGTAGAACGCCCCGTGTGCGATAGCGTACGCCACGAGCGCCGGGTACGTCTTGGCGAGTGGCAACAGAAGGGTGGAGATGCCCAACAGGCACAGACTCAGTCCGTACTGGTCAAACCGGCTGAACCGTGAGTTGTCCGGGATGGCCCCCACTGCTAACCGACTGACCATGTCTGCCACTGAACTGACTGAGAGGAGGGACGCCGCTGCGTAGTCCTCGATCTGAAGCTGCTTGGCGCGAGGGATAATGTAGAGCGACGGCACGAAAAGACAAAACTGCATCATGAACAAGGACGCCATGAACAGGGCCACGGAAGGTATCAAGATCATCTTGAAGTCCATCCGTGCCCAAAACGTTTTTAGAAAGTCCGTTGCAGCTGACGAACACTTCTTTGCCGTGCCAGGTTCTAAGACTGTGTCTGAGTCAATCAGTCTGCTGTTTGTGGGCTTCCTCGGGCCATTTAGGACCTTCCTGTCGCTGTAAGCCTCGAGAGGTCTGACCAAGGCCCCAGCTACAACCATATTCAGCATAATGCCGCCTATAATAAGCAGAGCACCTTTCCAACCGAACTCGTCCATCAGATACTGGAAAAGTGGCGGAAATGACATGGAAGTTACGCTAGCTCCTACCGCGGTCAGGCTGTTGGCCATGGCTCGTCTTTTGGAGAAATACTGCCCAACAATTGCCAAAGCAGAACTAACAGAAAGCGCATATCCAAGGCCTGTTTGGAACAAAAGAAAAATTGTTATCACCGTATCTGACAATGGTCATATGTGGTGGTCATAATTTGGATGTACATTGTACATCAGGCCGCCACATGTATTTCACACATGTATTACGGATTGGTTAGTCGAATGACACTTTTTATGTTTTTTAATCCAGGCTGAAGGAGGTCGGAGCAAGTATTAAAATGCACACATGACACCGAATGCATTTACGTTAAAGGTTGAACAGTTACCTCACTAGGCAGTTTTAGAAATGCCCTCGACTGACCTGAGAGACATCCAATTCCCAAGTACAAGTGAAACATGCGGGTCGCAAAACGACTGACAATGTAGCCGGCTGCTGAGAGCACCCCTCCCAACATGATGGTCGGGCGGAAACCGATGGTGTTCGCCAAGACAATGCCAACCGGAGCTAAGGAGAAAAAGCAGGCACGTGTTGGACATACGCGGAAACAACGGACTCAACAATACCCCATAAAAGAAAAGTCTCCAAGCAACCAATATAAACCACGCGAGTCACAGTGACTCAAAATAGAACACTCGTTCTGTTCGAATTAGCACCTGTTACCAAAAACAGAACACCCGTTCTGTTCGAATGACCGCCGGTGACCCAAAATGGAACACGCGTTCTGTTTGGAAGCCCTGTGCTAAACTGTAACTCAAGTATAGCCTTGATTACAAATTATTGTTTAACAAAAGGCGAAAAAACACGGTATTGTAATCTTTATACAAGCAAATGCAGTGAAAATCTATTAAGTTGAACTAACATAGTAAAAGCGTGACGCTCATCAGGATGGAGCTTATCCACGCCGTCTCCGCGGCGCTGGCCTGAAACTGTTGGCTGAACGTCAGGAAGAAGACTCCGAGGGAGCGGAAAGTTCCGAATGTGCTGCCGTAAACAATGAACCCCGCCAGAACCACCATCCAGCCCCAACCGCCGTCCGGAGGCTGAGCGCGGCTCTCTGGGTTCGCCATAGTTTCTCTTCAGGGGGGTCTAAGTTGAACTTGGAAAGAAAAAGACATGAGTGACTACCAAATTAATTTTCCTGGTTACCTTCTTTCTGCCTTCAAGTCATCATTACAAAGCTAACGCTTTGACTTAGCAATAAAACACAATTGCTTAGCTGCTGGGGCTGTAGCAAGTGCGAGCGCCTTTGTCAGCTTGTTTACATGGAACAAACACAAAGACCACGCCAAAGCCTCAAAGTTCAATTCTCATGAGCTGAACTGGTGATACTAGTAACACGTAGTTGCATTGGCATTTTCTCAACTTGACGGGTTTTCTGTCAATTTTACCAGGGTTTAAAACGATCTGTAGCTCTTGTTTTGTATCGTGATGTCTAAAGCAACACACAACACCTCATATATAACAGAAAATGTTGTTTTACGTATTCATACCTTTACGGTAGCACGCCAGACCAGGGTTCAGGTACAGGGTGAATTCTAACTCCCAGTGTACAGTAGGCAACTCGGTCAAAGGCCAGAAATCCGCGCAAGCGCAGTAGCCCAGTTTTAGTCTATATAGAGATCACCTTGTAAAACCAAATGTAGAGAAGTTTTTTTTTTGTAAAATGTTTTTGTACTTATCATCAGTTTCAGTCAATCATAGCGTTAATGGCAATGCCGGAATCTGCCTATGAAGTCTACCTCTGAAAGTTGAGAAATTTGTTTACATTTAATTTTAGACAGAGAAGTCAAAATACCTACCATGTTTTCACGTTAGGCCACACCAAGTAAATTTTATGGATGACGTCCTTTGGAGACCCTATATCTAATGCGAGAGGGCGAAAAAAAAACAAGAAGGGCCCTAAAAAACAAGATGCCTAGATTAGAAATATACTAAGAGACGACAAATGTTAGGACACAAATTGAATGAGGTGACACAGATTAACAAGCAAGAAGTCTTTTATTCATCATCAAAACAGCAATAAATCAGTGGAACAGCAGTTGTCGTCCTGTCCTGTTTCTTTCACATTTTTGCAGGCCTGCAGAAACAAAGCATGTGCTCTTTACCCATTTCGCGTTACGAGTTTCACGTCAATCTAACAATTTGCGGCACTGTCGTGACTCTTTGGTCATAGTTACAGGAAGCGGAATTTCTTGTTTTTTTTCTAGGAACAGGCCAAAATCAATGCGCGCGAGGACGTCATCCATAAAATTTACTTGGTGTGGCCTTATCTGTGCACAGATCTTTATTGGCAAACTGTATGACAAAATGTTACTCTCAAGCGACACTACCCTAAGGTTTAGTGGTACAACCCAATGGCCTCTTGTAGTTGATCGGTGTTATGGTAGAGGTCAGTTGTCTGATTCGGTCATAGCTTATGCATCTTACTTCTGGCCAGCGTAATTATCTTACATTATGTCGTGTGTTTTTCTTTCCGTTCTTTCTTTCTTTCATTCTTTATTCTTCCTCACATGAGAGATCATGGTAGAAAATATTGACAAGAAATAAAACACGTTCTCGTTGCGTTACACATATCGTTATATACGTAACGTTACATATATATTGAATAAAATGTACATTCTTGAGTATTTACATTTGCTACCTATTCCTGTAGATGCATAGTAGATGCATAGTTCAAGAACCAATTATGATATATACTATTAGGTATCATTTGAGGTGTGGTGGCAACTATATGTCAACATCATGTTATGTAACTAGTACTTATAATGATAATATGTAGCCCACTGCATTTCACTGATAAATTGCAGCAATGATCACACGGCAGTTTCACGTGCGGATACGAGTAAAGTCTCATTCTCCCCCTTCACTGTTTGTGGCGAGTCCGCCGGCTCCTCCGTCGTGTCCGCCGGCCGTTTCTTCCTGAGCCGAAGGAGGAACGGCAAGAGCCCGGCCAGCAGGAAACCGGCGCCTGCTTGGAGGAACGTGGCGTCGTAACTTTGGGTCTCGTCGAACAGCCAGCCTAGGCAAAGATGAATTTAGAATTATTTTGTGATACTTGTGCTGCAACCAAAACCAATGACTTACGTTACCTTAACATTTCTATGGATCACAAGAGGCAAGAAAGTAAACTTGTCACTTAAGTCTACTTGCGCTGATGAGAGGGTCTTTGCCAACGTTGTGGCTAGACTAGTAGATGTATGAAAAGGAAGGTCTGAAAAGACTATTTACATGTTTCTACTGTTCCACAAAGCTTCCACATGACGTTTCAAATCTTATTCCTCTACACAAACCTGCAAACGGTGGTCCAGCCAGCGATGCAAACCCTTGTATTGACATCAGGATTCCAATTGCACTGGGAAGACGCTTCGGGCCAACCAGTTCGGCCACACAGGTCAGTGATGTCGGAATGAACGCGCCGTAGAACGCCCCGTGTGCGATAGCGTACGCCACGAGCGCCGGGTACGTCTTGGCCAGCGGAGACAGGAGGTTGGAGACGCCCAACAGGCACAGACTCAGTCCGTACTGGTCAAACCGGCTGAACCGTGAGTTGTCCGGGATGGCCCCGACTGCTAACCGACCGACCATGTCTGCGATAGCGATGACTGATAGGAGGGACGCCGCCGCGTAGTCCTCGATCTGAAGCTGCTTGGCGCGAGGGACGATGTACAGAGCTGGCACAATGACGCCGAGTGACACTAAGAACAACGACGTCAAGAAAAGTGCCACCGCAGGCATCAAAATAACTTTGAAGTCCATCTGTGCCCAAAACGTTTTTAGAAAGTTCGTTGCAGCTGCTGAACACTTCTTTGTCGTTCCAGTTTCCAGGACCGCGTCTGCGTTCATTTCGCTGTTTCTTTGCTTCTTAGAGCCATTTTTGTCTGTGTAAGCCTCGAGAGGTCTGATCAAGGCTCCTGCTACAACCATATTCAGCATCATGCCGCCTATAATAAGCAGAGCGCCCTTCAAGCCATACTCGTCCATCAGGTATTGGAAAAGTGGCGGGAACGACATGGATGTAACACTGGAGCCCAGCATGGTCAGGCTGTTGGCTATGGCACGTCTTTTTGTGAAGTACTGCCCGACAATCGCCATGACAGGGCTGAGAGTGAAGGCGTAACCAAGTCCTGTTTGGAAAACCAACAAAAGTTTCATCATTTTCATTACATAGATGCCTACTATCGTGCTTATAGATTGGTATTCTAATCTAATATTTTGTGTTTTCAGTTTTTGTTTTAACGGTAAGGATATCGAGGATGTTGGAGAAGTGAACAAGTGTTAAATGCCCTTGTGACACCGATTGTACTGTATCTACATCGCAAATTCACCTATTAAACGGTTGCAGAAATGCCCTAGACTGACCTGTTATACAGCCAATTCCCAAGTACAGGTGAAACATGCGGGTCGCAAAACCACTGATGATGTAGCCGGCTGCTGAGAGCACCCCTCCCAACATGATGGTCGGGCGGAAACCTATAGTGCTCCCCAAGGCAGTGCCAACCGGAGCTAAGGAGAAAAAACAACAGGCACGTGTTGGACATACGCGGAAACAACGGGCCCAACAGTACCTTGTAAAAAGTGGTCCATTAAGTGATTATATGGTATAAATAAAAATGGCGACCCCAAATGGAACACGTGTTCTGTTCGAATGACCACCGGTGACCCCAAATGGAACACGCGTTCTGTTCGAATGACCACCGGTGACCCCAAATGGAACACGCGTTCTGTTCGAATGTCCACCGGTGACCCCAAATGGAACTCGCGTTCTGTTCGAATGACCGCCAGTGACCCCAAATGGAACACGTAAAATTATCATAAAGACATACAATACTAGTATTGCACATGGCACATTCAGATTACAAAACTTAATTAAGACAGCTACACTCACAAAGAAAAAACATGACGCTCATCAGGATAGAGGTTATCCACGCCGTCTCCGCGGAGCTGGCGTGAAACTGTTGGCTGAACGTCAGGAAGAAGACTCCGAGGGATCGAAAAATTCCGGCCGTGCAGCCGCTGACGATGAACCCGGCCAGAACCACCATCCAGCCCCAACCGCCGTCTGGAGGCTGAGGGCGGCTCTCTGGGTTCGCCATTCTTCAGTGGAATCTAAGTTGAACTTCGAAAGAAAGAAAGAAAAACAACACGAATGACTGTGTTTTGTCGACAAATTAAGCTTTATGGCTAGCTTCTTTCCACAAATCAACTACTTTCAATCCATTATTATAACGACAATGCATTGACTAAAAGACATCCAATGCAGCTTAATTCAGGGCGACAGAATTGGCCAATTTTCTGGTCATTCTTTTTAATGTAAGTTGATAATAAAGTAAGTTAATGTAGTAAGTGGGAATGGTTGTCTGCACTTTCCTGTTGTAGATTGAATGGTGTTTGTACATATTTGTATATAGGGTGTTTCTGTTTACTTGTCTTGTTTAATTTTTAACCAATTATTTGTAAAAATCGGATACACAATTCAGGGGTGCATCAGCATTCCCTGCTTTTGTATGATTTTGTCTGATTGAATACATTGAAATTGAATTGAAGTTAAATCAATCTCACAGCATACTGATATCTGTAAGTTAAAAGTGCGGCTGATGGAAAACGGTCGCTTGTTTTGCATCATAGGCTGGTTCTAGCTATTTATTGGTGGCACCAACATGTCTTCACGTAGCTTGTTTTGGGCTATTTCAAGTATAAAATGAGCCAGAAAATTGAAGTAAATGTCAATATGAAGCAGATTTCCTTATACAGAATATTTTTGCTTTGCTGCCCCCAGATTGCATAGGATGCCTCGAAGAAAACAGTTCTGGCTAGTGACTGGGGATGTTACTCTCCAAGCAGAGGTTTGGGTTCTGGCTTATTTTTAGCGTGTTTTAGGATTTTTTGTCGGAAATTCTTTTCTTGCACTGGTATCTTATTTCGGCTTAAAAAACGATACCAGTGCAGAAAAAGCATGCCCGATAAAAAAAACTAGTAAACACACGCCAAAACTGATACGCTAAAATCCAAATCTCTGTTTGAAGAGTAGGGGGCATAACAAGGACGGGCGCCCTTGGCAGCTTGTTTACATGGGACAAGCTACACTAAAGAGTCTCAAGGTTCGAGGTCAATGAACAAACTATTTAACAACATGTACTTACAGTGACATTTTAATCCACCAGACGGGATTTCTGTCAATTTTACAAGGATTTAAACCGATCTATAGCTCTTGTTTTGCATCGTGATACCTCCAACAATAGACAAAACTTCATTTACAAACATTAATCGCTGTTGTTGTTGCACGTAGTCGTTTTTTAAGCGGCATACCTTCACGGCAGCACGTCAGGCGGAGGTTTAGCCTCTGTAGCAGGCTTATAGAACTGGGGGTTTGGTGGTCTTCGGCTGTTTTCTGATTAGCCCAGTTCTATAAACGGGGGTAATTCAACCAGGCCGGCTATGTTGTCTATATGCAATCAGAAAATAGCACATAAAAGCTGAAGACCCCCAAAACCCCCAGTTTTTGGCATGCTATAGAGGCTACGGAAGTTCAGGTTACAGGTCGAGTTCGAATTCTAACTCCCTGTGAGAATGAGCTTGCTAGGTCAAGGACTCCGCGGGTCTGCTTGCATGTGGCAATAATCAGGGCCTATCGACCTTAGATGAACTATAGTTGAATGGTACGAGCCCAAACCTATGTTAGTTGGCGAGTGTCTTTCGTCCTCTCAACAAATAGAATGCAAAAGTCATGTGTGTTTGGACGCCAGGCTAGAACAATAGCCTCCGGGGTTATGCGATTCTGTCTGGTTGTGTTCACGGTAGGAATGCTAGCGTGACTGTCCTCACTCAGATAGATTTATTTATAAAACAACATTTTCTGTGCGTACCTGCAGTGTGTTACGCCGAAGGGCGGTTAGTACAGGCTATACAGATACAGATACAGACGTTGGTGTGTTACCCCGAAGGGCAGTTAGTACAGGCTATACAGATACTGATACAGACGCTGGTGTGTTCTCGTACGTCGAAGGCAGTCACACCGGTTATACAGACGCTGGTGTGTTACCCTGAGGGTCGGTCATACGCACAGATACAGACACAGATAACAAACTACCGGGGTGTCTCGCCTCTTCCCCTGCAACCGGGTTCAGTAGAATGCCTGAGGTAGTTTCGAGCAATCTCATTAATTATTCAATTCTTGAGCCTATCAAATATCCGACATAACTGTGTTTACGACTATGAGAAAACTGCGATATCACGAAAACGGGACCATGCGGCAGCAGTCGCTTTTAAGAGTGTCATTGATACGCCTTGACCCGTAACGTAGAACAATGACAGGCTTAGAGTACGTGAAATGTCACCTGCCAAACTCACACTTAAAACTTAAACGCTGCTGCAAAGAACGCCAATCAACGTAACACCGCTTCTGTACATGGTGGAATCAAAATCTTTACCCTTAAATGAAACACCAGTGGGCACCGTTATAACAAACTTGCTTTAAGGGCTCCTATATATCGGGGCTTACTTCGGTGCCTCGCTTACTTAATACAGTACTAAGCTATAAATCTTATGATTAGCCCTCGCCAATGCAGAATCTACTCATAGGGTCTACCTCTATACATGCATACGGCAACATTCATCGTTCAGAAATTCTGCTAACGCTCTGTACCAGTACGCAGTTCATATGATTATCTCTTAAATGGCCAACTTGTACTCACCACTCGGAAGATCTTGGCACGTCACCTTCCGACTTGCCGAACTTTTCCACTGCTGTAGTGGCCAGCGCGATGCAGAGTCACGACCATCGTATCGAGGCAACCGTGTCAGAGTCACGAAAAACTCTGCAGGACGAACTGTAATGCATTCTCCGCCATTGTTGTGGAACACTTGAAGCTCCCTCACGACGCTATACTGTACATAGTGGCAGCAAACACGGGGACACTTGTTTGTGCCGTGTCATTGTGTACCACCGTCTTCCGGGGGTACCGGCCAAGTTTTCTTCGGGGTGGGGGGCACTGAAAAAAAGGGGCGTTCTTTCACATGGCGACTGCGACAAAGAGGTTTGCTATGCATGTAATAGCCCTGTTTAGATAGTATCCATGCACGGATATTATACACTGCGTGGCATAATGTTATCCTCGTATGGCACCCCCCTTGCATCTAATGGTATGACCCAATGACCTGTTGTAGTGGCTTTGCCGACGGTATGTAATGCTATGATAACAAGGAGGTCGGTTGTCATAGTCGATAATATCGTTAACGGTATATGCTGTGTATCAGACGATCGTCTAGTTAGCTAGGACGTGACGAAGAGCTTTAACCTCGCTGTAACTATTCTACCTTCGCCGTTTTAAGAGGGCCTGCAAGCCCTTTTTCGTAAGGCGTAATCAGGCCGTTTTAGACTTCGTAATTCGTAGGAAGCCTCCGCAAAAATCAACGTAATTCGTAATTGGACATTAGCCGCACATCGTAAAGTCGTAATCAGCTCTGAGACTTTAACGTAATTCGTAATAGGCGGCGAAAATTTTGCGTAATTCGTAATCACTACCCCCCCCCCTTAAGGCCTTGCAGGCCCTCTTTTAAGGTCAAAGAAATGCAATCAGGTGTAACGTACGTATATGTGCCTCCGTCCGGTGCCATGTTACTGCTCAAATCGGGGGGGGGGGGGCGTTTTCGCGAGCTGTGAATGAGAACGGCACTATCAAAGCCCCCATAGGATTGTTATAAAATATATTTAATCCAAATAAGTAAATCATCTTCGTTTCTGTTGGGGCATAAGGCCCGACAAGCTAGGGTAGGAACTATACCTAACGTTACCTATAATTCCCCAATGGGTAAATAATTTTTTTTCATTGAACGACATTAAAAAAAAATACTAGAGTTCCCCGATCTCATACCTTCGCCAAATGATCTTTTTAGACTGACAAATTATACATTTGTAGATTAGATTATTCCCCCCTGATTTAAGAAATAGGAACTTAATTTTCATGAATTATATCATTTTATCATAATCTCAACCAAAAGACAGTCTTATATTAACAAACAATGCATTCTAGCATTTCATAATAAATTATGCAAATGAAGTCCTGATTTGAATAAATTATGTTCAATGATGTTCACCTCAATTTAACTTTCAAATACCACAAGTATGAAATTCCAGACAGTTATCATTACATAATTATAAACTTTTCTCATTAATTATGCAAATTAAGTCATTATTAACATAATCAATATCTTCCTGTGTTTTTCTCGTTGTCAATTACCAATGTCACAAGCTTCAATTGTCCTATCATGGAATGCAGATGATTTATAGAATTTCCCCATAAATTATGCAAATTACATCCATATTTGCATAATTGTCACATAATTATATTAAGCATCACGTAAGCTACCTACATACCAAAAATCACGACGATCCGTCAACTGGTTCTTGAATTATCCCCTTTTGAATATTTTCAAGAATATATCCCTGCAGTTCCAGAGCAAGCCGCTAGGAGGCCTAAACTCCCGTCACTTCTTCCCCAGCACAAGAGCTACCTACCATCCAAATTTCATCACCATAGCATGTCTAGATCATGAGATATCAAAACCGGAAGTTCAGCTGCAGTACCATAACAAGCTGCTAGGGGGTCCAAAATCTAATCATTTTGAGGTCTCATCAAGACCTACCCACCTACCAAGTATCAAGACAATCCATCAAGACCTTCTCAAGTTATCGTGTTTACAGACAGACACACACACACACACACAAACACACACATACACGAACGCCCCTGAAAACATAACCTTCTTGGCGAAGGTAACAAGACACAGTGACTAGCGATTCACCCTCACCGCTTAATCTCCAAGCAGATATTTGGCTGCAAAACAGAATCAAACTGCCCAGGATTATCGTTGGCCAGACAGTTACCATCATGTTCGCTAATCTCCAAGCATTTGGATTTAATATTAGGGCACAAGAGCCAAAAATGTACCTTTTTTGTCAAATTTCGTGTTATTTGGCCCCAAAATGGCAGAGATGAATCCATTTAAAGAAATGGCAGGAGAAGGAGGAGAAGAAACATGAGGGAACACAATATGTCTCACCACTTTGTGGTGAAGCCATAAAAAAAAACCTTTGGTTTTACAAGGTAATCTC